GGGTGCAGGGACTTCCTCGCTGCTCCGCTGAGCGCGGATTTCGGCACCGCAGTCTCAGAGTCCGGTGACGACTGTGCCATGAGGCCGGCCGGCCCGCCGTAGCCTCAGGGTGCGTGCAGCCGGGATCCGGAGGCGGTCCCCAGGGCGCACCCCTTCCCAGTGTTTAAATGCTCTTTCTGTTCACACGTAATTAGAGCTCTCAGAGGCAACTGTGGATTAATAGGAGATGCTGTGTTACCTTTAAAATCAGAAAAACCAAAAATGGTAAATGATGTAACAGGAGAATTAGAGTCGTATCAACAGTATAGTCATTCTTGCTTGTTGTAAATGGCCTCCTTTCAACATATACGCTTAGTAAATTCGTTTCACGTAACAATTTCTGACGTTTATGTTAAGCGTATATTATATGCCTACTAAGGATATATTAAATAGGTGAATATTTATTAATCACAACTTTTAAATTTAAATGCCATCACCTGTCAGGTTTACTCACCGTGAGATGCCTTGGCAGGTGGTGAGTCAAATTCAGATACTCTCCCTGCAAATTGACTTCTGCACAGACAGTACTGTGTCTTTATGCCTAGAGGTTTAACTGATGGCACCCTTGAGTCTTTACGTCTGTTACAAGCACTCTTTTACATCCTTTGAAATTAGACAACATCATGATCATAGGCCAGAATTAGCCATGGACATTTGACTCTTTTCTTAATATTGGTCCACATGAACCCGTCAGCTTTCCAAACTGATGTAAGTAATGACAAAAAGGCCCCTTTCACAGAATCAGGTTTTCATTAAAATAAGTCGGGATTACTTTGTTGTGATCCCACACAAGGTCAGTTAGTCCCGTTCCTTCTTTAATCGCTGCCCTTTGGAAGGGGAAGGGATCAAGAGGGGGGCGTGATCAAAGTCCATGTGAACCAGGCTCTCTGCTGTACCTTGTAGCATTTGCACCTGGGACAACCCTGTATCAAATATTCCTGTTCACTAATTGCTAATTTAAATTCCTTTTCCTAGAATTAAAAGTCAAATTATAGGTTTCTGAGAGATGTTTCTACCTATCGAACACACCAGGTTACCCATAAAACAGGAAGAGCAACGTGGATACCAAAGGCTGTTGAACAGCATGCAGGCTAAGTGGAAAGCTTACGGGCTTTACAGCCAGACGGATCGGGCCAGATCCTGGTTCCAGCCTTTATGCTGAGGGCACTGGCCTGTCTCAACCTCACGTCTCTGAAGTGGTGACGCTCCCTACCTTGCGATGTTTGTTATGAGGCACAAGTATAAAGTATGTAGAAAACTGGGCTTTTATTAGTAAATTCACATTGCTAGGATACAATGATGAGAATTCTTCGGGACATTCCACTTCCCTCTGTTGCTATCAGTACTACGCTTAGTGAGGGAAACACTCCTCTCACCAACTTAGTCTTGCTTGGGAACACAGTTGCAGTCCCTCAGGAGCCGTGTTGTGCCCCGTGCCAAAGCAGAGCGACCCAAGAGAATGAGTGGTAATCCGTTGAGCTGTTTCATTCTCTGTTCTGTAACTCCTCCCACTCTTACTCGTAATGTTCATTACAACTTTTGCATGCTTGCCTAATTTAATTGCATTCTGTGTATGCTTCTTAAGGGAAGGATCCACATTAGCATGTCGTCTTTTTCCCCTATTTCCCCAACAGTGCCTAGCGGTGTGTCACTTATGTTATTTATTCATTAAGCAAATATCTGAGTTTCTATGAGGAGTCAATACTGGCTACATGTCAGTTAATAAAACAAAAATCTCTGCCCTGTGGAGCTTAGGTTCCAGTGCACGTAGGAAGTACAGTGTTCAATTCTCCTTGAATTTAATGGAGGCAAAGGATATTTTGATCCTTTTCCTAAATGTCTCACCAATTTAGCTAGAGAATTAAGGCAAGTAACTTAGTGGCTGTCACTCCCTACATTGTTTAATAAATACGTGTGTGTGTACAAGAGTCCTCATGTTATCTTGTTACACCCCCGTGTAAGTAGTGTCTACGCCCATGTTACAAATGCACATTCATCCTGTCATACGTGCCTTTAAACTAATAATGAAACTATAAACCCAAGAGATTTGATCATAGAATTTTTTAATGGTTAAAAACTAGTAAAAAGAACTTTCAAACAATAAAAGGAAAATTTCTACCACTGCAGGTTTACCTTTTAATATGGTACAGCTAATCTTTAATATACATTTGTAAAAGGCACCATATGTCAACAGGGCAAATAATGCAAGAAACCAAAACTAAGCCACTTTCTCCAATTTCCTTTTTGTACAAGTTTATACATTTTAAGGCAGATGCTTATCTGTGCAAAATACAGCAGAAGAAAATCAACATTAGATTACAAGTTCACACATACTCAGATTTTTTTCAATACCATTTGTCAGGATATTTGCTTATGATAAAGCATATTAAAATAGTTTTTTTCCTAGTGAAGTTTGAAGACGTTGATGAACAATTAAAAAAATTATTTAGAGATTTCATTGCAGACCCCTCAAAGAAGATATAGAAAAGTCAATCTTTTTTCCTCGTTTCTTCTTTTAGAAATGTCCATATCAATTTGTTCACTATGTCAGGTTGTTCTTGCTGGAGCCAATGACTGGCTTCTGACAAAATAGTTAGCCTGAAATAGTTTTTAACATAAATCTTTGTGACTTCAGCCATCTCAACCTCCATAAATGCGTCTTTCTCTCCCCACAGTAGTAGTGTCGGAGTGGTCACCATGTGATGTTTGAGAGGCAGGCAGCTATAAAAACAAAACACGTGGGCTTGAGACTCATTGTAAAAGTTAAAATAACATTTTCCTCAAAATGTTGCTTTAGGCCATACATTTTTAAAGAGGGCAGTATCACCACCAAAGGGGTGAAAATTGGTTCTTGGGAGAGTAAAAATGACTTACTCTTTTTATATAAAAACTATGAATATACATATAGTACATAAACAGATGTTAAAATTTCATGAGGTGGGGGCAATTAGGAAAAAAATGTCTAAAAAGGCTCCTTAGGGAAGTGATGATGAAAAATGGTTGACATAAACTGCATTGGGCAATCAATCTATACAATAAAAAATTTAAAGGGCTATTTAAGAAAGGGCCTGATGAAAGTTTTAATTGGATGAGGCTAGCAAATTTATAATGAAGGCTATAAATTAAATATGAAATTCATCACTATGAGGAATAATTTGCTTTAAAAGAATTTCTGAATAGTGTGATGAAAGGGAGCTTTAAGCAGTGTTACTGTTTAAATATATTTTAAATTGTTTGTTGGATAGCCTAATGCATTTTATGTGAAAACTGCAGCTGAAAAGTCAGAAACTATATATGGAATGAGCCTTAATGTTACATGATATTATATTTATTTTGCAACAAGATTCTTGTTAAAATACAAAGTTCTTATTATGCATTTTCCTAAGTACAAAAAAATATAAAGAATAAAGTCATGCATAATTCCATCATTAAGAGATAACCTTTTGGTCATTTTCTATGAATTAGTTGAAACTGTAAGTACAATGCAATAAATATCCACAGTTTATGTAAAACATACACATGCAAACTTCATATTAAATTATAACTACTTTTTTGTTTCAAAAAGTTTTTCAAAAATATTTATAAAACATACTATTTTACGGTATAATAATCCATAAATGACTTGACTGTCCTTGAATAACTGAATATTCAGATTATAGCATTGCTTAAAACAAGGGGATGTTTAAGGCGATGCTATAATGAGCATTTTGTCCCCAAATCTTTGTTGGCATTTCAGGTAACTTCTTCAGGCTAGAGTCCTGGAACTGGTATTGCTGAAGACTATAAATATTTTTAAAGCTTCTGACACCTTCTGCCAGGGTGTTTCTCAGAAAGGTGGGATGGTATTAATTACACCATGTGGACTAAGCACGAGAATGAACATCTAAGTAGGCACTCTCCAGCACTGACTTACATCTTCCCTCGTTACCTTGTGGCTGCCTGGGGTGGACAGGGTGCTGCCGGAACGTGCAGGATGTCACATATATTCACCCAAGGACTTAGCTTTTGACCCCCATACAAGTGGCCATCATTTTGTTATCATGCTCCTAAAAATTAAGTTCTTTCCGAATGGGCAAACTGATAAGAAAATATATCTATACTTAATTACTGACACATGGATTGCTATACAAACTTGAAAGCCATTTAAGTTTTGGAGCTTATAAAATGTTCAAAACCAAAACATTTTCTACCAGCTATCTGCATATTTAACAGTGTGTGAGCATGTACTAGTTGAATCAGCAAGGTAAGGGGAGTTTAAAAAGACTTCAACAAAAAAATAAATAAGAAGACTCTTGGTCAAAAAAGCAAAGAGAAATATAAATTCTTCACCAGATCAAATTAGGGGTTAAAGGGAGGAGTTTCCAGAAAACTAAAAGAAAAGCATTTTCTCTGGTCCTGAGGTTTCAAACTGCTAAATTTCCCATGAAATATGTCATATAAAATAAAGTACATACAGCGTGGTGACCGTAGTTAATGCTACATTGCATGTCTGAGAGTTGCCAAGAGAGTATCTTAAAAGTTCTCATCACAAGTTTAACCACGTGCGGTGACAGAAGTTGACCAGACTCACTGGGGTGACTACTTTGCAATACATACAAATATCAAATAATTACGTTACACACCTGAAGCCAGTATAATGCTGTATGCCAATTATATTACAGCATAAAGAAATAAATACATTAATGAATAAAACAAGGTAAAACATTAAACATTTTAAGAATGTAGGTTTTAGTATATTAAGCTAAAGAACTTAATGGAAAACATCTGATAAAATATTTCTGACTAAAAATATACTTATTTTTATAATCATCTTAGTAAACACAGAAACAATTTGAACAACCCAAAAACCTGTAATAGCAGTAACAATTATTGTTCTAAATTGCTAATCACTTACCTTATCAAAATGTGCTTTAACACACCGACTTCAAAGTAGTCTGAATTGAACATGTTACTCCTCCAAGCTGAGTTACCAGCGGGTTTGTAAGTATTGAGGCAGCAGTTCCCAGAGTGTTACATAACCCATCATTACTTTATGTAAATACTTAACGACTTTGATTAAAAAGACAGTGGAGGAAACAGTACGACCCGCATACCCAACCACTCAGCTCAAGAAATAAAACAGTGTAAATGTCAGGACGCCTTCCTGCTTGCCTCCGCTCGAGCCCTTTCTTTCCTCACCTTACCCTAAGGCAGTGGTTCTCAGTGTGCTCACCTGCGACCTTGTCAGAAATGCCAGTCCTGGGCCGCATCCCATACTTACTAACTCAGAAATGATGGGGCGGGGCCGCCAGTCCGCTTTAACAAGCCTCTTGGTGATTCTGATACAAGCCACAGTGAAGGACTTTGGCCTCGGGAGTAACGACTGGGTTGGATTTGGTTCCTACCATCCTCATGGATGTTCGAGGACTTTCTGTATGTGTTTGGATACCTTTCGTCCATTCCTCTAGTTTCCTTAAGGAGAGGCTTTCCTCAGACCCCCCTGGCTCCGTCCCTGATCGCTGAGCGGTGGCTGCTGATCCCCGCTCCTGGCCTGGGAGGGTTCATCAGACAGCGTGTCTTGAGGGCGAGAGACGGAACTCTCTCCCCATCTCTACCAGACTCCTGGGAGGCAGTGACCTCAGGGGCAGAGGAGACTGAGTTTGCTCTGCAAACCTCCCCCCGCGCGATCAGCTCCAGAGTCTAGGCCGGCAGCAGGGAGTCAGCAAGACCGTTTAGTTCTCACATTAAGCCATAGCCTTCAGTCTATCCTTTATCAGTAATGAAGGTGATATTTTGGTTTTCCTCTGCTGAGAAATTTTGTTTGACTTCTCAACTGGCTCAGAAATTGGGCAGAAAGAGATGCTATTTGTCAGATCTCCCCAAATACAGTGCGTATCTTTTTGTAAACAATATACAGAGATGTATTTTGTAATTTTAAAACTTTATTAAATAGCATCATATTGCACATACCCCTCCATAACCTGCTCTTGTGCCTAAGATTATATTTTTAAGATTTATTTATTGATGAGTACATACTTCATTTATTTTCACTCTTGCATAGAATTCCATCATATGACTATACCACAAGTGACTCATTCTCTTATTATTGAACATTTAAAATTTTCCAGTTATTTTGATAATTCAAATAATACGGAACGCCTTCTTGCACATGTCCACTCATGCTCATGTGGAAGTTTTCTTACAGCATATCCCCCAATGGAATTGCTTCCTCGGAGAATATGCGCATCTTCAATACTACTTGATATTGTCAAGTTGTTTTCCAAACTGATTATACGCTCCACAAGCAGCAATAAGAATTCCCTTTTCTCCACATCATTGCCAACACTTGTTCTCAAAAGTTTAGATGTTCCCCATCAAGTGAGTGTGAAATACTTTGTTTACCTGATGCGGTAGAAATCGTTCCCCAGAACTTTTTCCCTTTCACTATCATGATAGAAAATCCAATTTTTAGCTGGACAAAGGGCCACCCAGAGTGGAGCCTGACTACATTTCCCAGGGTTCTTGCAGCAAGGCGACGATATGAGAAATACTCTGAGCAGCTTCTAAGCTGTGTCCAGCATGCCCTCCCCTTCCCTTTCCCACTTTCCACTGACTGAGATGCAGATGTGTTGTTAAACCATCTTGGACCACACAGATAAGGGCAATGCCCCAGGGAGGGCAGGATAACAAGACAGAAAAGGCCTCGGTCTCTGACTGAAGAGTGACATAACATCGTTGATGATTTCACAAAGCACAGCCACCACATCAGCCTAGACTTCTACTTGTGAGAGAAATACACCTACAAGACGTAAAACCCACGTCTGTGTCCGACTGCTAACGTGGAGCGTCTCTCATGTTACTGACCATTAGACCCCTTTTCTGCAAACTGCCTTTTCACGTCCTTTGCTCATTTTTTTTTGATTGGACTATCTTTTCTTTCTTTATTTGGTGGCATTCTTTATGAACCCTAGATATTACTGATTCATGATTAATTCATGATTGGCTGTGCACTGCAAATAACTTCTCCCCATCTGAGGTTGCCTTGTCATTTTATGGTATCTTTTAAGATACAAATGTTTTTAATTTTAATATAGTCGTAAAGTCTCCATGTTCTGAGATGTTTGTGTATTATTTGAGAATTTTCTCCTACCCGAGGTCATGGAAACTTTCTCCCATATCATCTTTTAGACATTTGAATGTTTTGCTTATATCATATTTAGGTTTTTTATTCCACTAAGGTTTATTTTTTGTTTGGTAAAAGATAGGGATCTAATTTCATTTTATTCCATATGGATAGTCAGTTGTTCCAACAAAATGTGTTCCCATTTTGTCAAAATTCTCAAATTCATTAACATAAAATTTGTATTTTAATGTGTTATGTTTGCACTTAAGTCTATTCTCTCCTTCTTAATGTTGTTTCCTCAGGCCCTTTTTAAACCAGTCTTGCCTGAAGTGTATCTGCGTCCGCGGTCCTCAGGGAGCCTGCCTTCGGTTTTGCTGACGTGCTCTGCTGTGCCTTTGTTTTCATTGTACCACTTTCTGCTTTTTATCTAATTTAAATTATTTTCCCTCTAATTTATTTTTGTTTACAATGTAGTCCTTTTCATAATGTCTTTCAAAAATTTTTTTATTTTTAAAATTTTATTTATTTTTATTTATTTTGGGGGGGAGGGAGGGAGGAGGTAATCAGGTTTATTTATGTGTTTGTTTAATGGTGGCACTGGGGGTGGAACCCGGGACCC